AGCTATGGTTTTGATAAAATTGTGCAGCAACTGGACGTAATGAAGAGGCCGCGAGTAGGAGGTGATCGACGGCTTTGGTGTGATTGTGGCACCGGGTTGAGATGTTGGGTTATCATTGTTATTGTTATTAAGGGGTTCAGTTTCTAAGGAATTGGGGTCTGGAATGGCGGGAGAGGGAGCAGCAGATGAGGAAGGATCTTCCGTCATGAAGAGAGAGAGTACGAGGAGATCTGATCCGGCAAAGATATGCGCTCCTAACGTTGTTTGCCGTCACACTTATTACTGTTTGGTTAAGAAAAAAAATAGTGATTTATGCTGATAGGATCCACTAATTTTGCAACTGTGATGCAGGTTTTGTTGAAGCAGCATTCTCGTGGGTGAGGATTACTGTTTAATGAGGGCTTCACTGTTCACGCGAAGTCATTCTTCACTGTTTTGATCGGATTGTATCCGATTTAAAGTTAAAAATAAATTAAACCTGAAATAAAAATAAAAAAAAATATTTTTTTTATTTTTAATTATGTTTTATTTAAAAAAATAATATTAAATATAATTTAATAATACTATATAAATTAGATAAAAATTACTAGATGATGTAATATTTATATAATTTTATCACAATTCTAATTTTTTTTTAATTATATTTTATTTGTTTATTTACAAAATTTTATCATAATTTTAATTTTATTTCTAATTATATTTTATCTATTATTATTGTGTTATTAAGAGATTTGTGAAAACTGTAATCTTTATTGTATATATTTTATATGTAATGGAATTATAGATAATTTAATAAAAAAACTATATATTTTATATAAAATATTATTTATTTCATGATTTAATAATAATAATTAAATTTATAATATTTAAATTAAAAACTATCAATATTAATTTATTGTTAAAAAAAAAAGAGACACTAGGTTAATAATGCTCAATCATGTATAATAAAATTTAATGTTATGGGTTTAATACAATTGAAAATTTAGATATTAATTTTGAAACTGAAACAAATATTTAATCTGTTTCTACCCTATCATGAGCTAGGTTAATAAATTCTTGCTGATAAATTTGAAGTGAGAAGCACTTGCACAACATTTTTCTCTCAATAAATTTTGCAAACTAATACCGTATGAACAAAAATTCTCACTGGAAAAATATTTTGGCGACGAGCAACAAATAACCAAGTAGAATAAACACACACCAAATGAAGAAATTGGACGTCATGTTGAAAAGAAACTGGGAAAGAGCATAAATGAAGGAAACTGGCCATGATGTTGAGTCCTCGTAGTGTTAATATCTAATTATTAACTGATAGATTAAACGAACTCTGCATATTGAAAAAGTTCAATGAAACTGAAAATGATTGCGAAAAGGGACGTGAAAAATGGGTATATATAGGGGAAAAAAGAAAGACGAATGGTTTGAGCAAGATGCGCTCGGCACCGTTTAGGGTATCAATGAAATTACAACATGCCTGCCAAAAATCGTGAGCCACTGACTGGTTTGTATGAAGCCTAAAACACTAAGCAGGAATTTTCATCCCCAAGTAATTGTGCTTTGGAAAAGCAGTAAGAGATGCAATATGAGTGGCAAAATTCTCAGAAGAGAAAAAGGACTGGTTGATTGGACATTCAATGCCCTAGCTCTAATCTATGTGCACATGAGATAAATTGATCCCGGAGCCAGAAGATTAATCCTCAGTTGCATTTTCCAAAGCCTACAAAATAAAATGCCGAACAATTAAATACCAAGGGAGAGGAAGACACTGCCAGTTTTTGGGACGAAAGAATCTTCATTGGAGTGCAGCTGCTAAACCCTCACTGCATGTTTTCCTGAATTTGCTCTTGCAACTCTATCGTCTTAGTGTCCATCACCTTTACACCAAATCATATAGCTGGTTATGGTTTGGAAGAGGTAATCACAAATCTGATCTACCCCCACCAATAATCTCATCCCTATCTATGAAACGCTCAAGCAGCTCTTTCTCTTTCAAAACTAAGCACTCATCAGCCTTCCCAAACCAGCCATAGCGGTGCTTGGCAACATAATCATAGACAGCATCCCTGATAGGAGTTGGAACTATCAAGAGTGTGCTCAGAGCAGAGTAAGGCAGAGGCAAGTATGACATTACTCTCAGTGCAGCTGCAGGGCCACATACACAGAGTAGCTAAGGCTCAAGTTTTTGTTGTCAAGAAAAAAAAGAGGGAAGCTTGAAAAGGAGAAAAAAAAAAACAGTAGTGAACAGAGAAGCCACTCATGAATTCACATGCCAATATTGAAAAATTTGCCACGTTAAGAGAAATAGCTTATGAGTCACTGGAACTGAATTCACTAGTAGATGAAATCAATCTCTAGGACTTCTAGCAGTTTACAGAAATGAAGCTGTTCATTTTCTGGTGTAACATGTTGTTCCGTGAAAAAAAAAAAATCCTTGGTTCAACTGTGCAGACATTTCTCGCTTCTGTTCAGATGTGCTACAAAGATAAGCTGATGAAACAGGAAAGAAACTATCACCAATTTACCACTGCCTGGACAGGGGTATCAATTCACAAGAACTTCTGATAGTCTCACTAATGCAGCAATCTGTTGTTCTATATTTGATAATCAATTGGCATTGTCTTTGAAGATTGTTACGTCTTTTGACTCTTTTCTATGACAAAACTAGAACTTGGACTGCTTAAAAGGGAAAAAAAAGGGAGACAATGAGAGCTTCAGTATAGATCATCTTCTTTCAAATGTTGATCAGTCTAACTGACCTAAATGTGAAAATTCAAATAGGGCAATGTTCATGAGTCTTCAATCATTAAAGTAACTTTTTGCTTATCCATCATGAAAAGCCCCAACAATTCTATAGGGAATAAGATCTCTTGTAAAGTAATAACACGAGAAACTCAGTTACCACCTAACCAGCTGTGGTTAAAGAAGAAAAACTAAATGATTTGGCAATTGGCATTGCAGAGTATACGTGTGAATATTTCCTACAGCACAACACAATCTCACTTAGTAGCACAACTACTTCTCATCTTAGTAAGGTAGGCTATCAATAAACATCAATTTCCATGAACGCGGAAAACTAGCAATGGAGAAGCTGGCATAAGATGGATGAAGAGTGAATAAATGACAGAAAACTAACCAGTGGAAGCTTGGTGGTATGATCCTGGACCTTCAATGAAGAGAAAGCGACGGAGAACATCCTCTCGGTTGAGACCACAGAGTGCCAAATATGGTTCAGCAGCCTTAGATTGCAGGCAACAGAACTTAATCTTCCCGTATTTGTCTGCTTCAATCACCCACTTCACCCCTGTAAAACTGGAAGGTGTGAGAGAGAGCATGAAATAACTTAATTGCTTGGGACTTAAGACCCGCATTTTTGGTACAAGATCACCAAAAAACTGGAAGAAAAAAAAAACAGCACAAGCAATTGATTTTAATGAACATAAAAGTGCAAGCATGTATTTGTCAATATTATAATAAAGGGAAAGTAAGATCTGATTAAAAACAAACTGTTTTCTTTACTGACATTTTTGAACTGTGATTAAAAGCAGACTGCTGGGGCACATTTAGGCAGTGTTCGAAAAGCGATTGAAAAAGAGGTTTTCTAAAAATTTAATTTTTTTTCTATATTTTAGATTGTTTTAATGTATTATTATATTAAAAATATTTTTTAAAAAAATAAAAAAAATTATTTTTATTGTTTCAAAATGAAAAACTTTGAAAAATAATCATCACAAACACCCCCATTAGATATTGGATAGCATTAAAACAAACATCCATTTAGGAGATATACGATACAGTATAATACACAGTACACTGTAATGAGGAAAGGAATAGAGATCGGGGCTGGGATTGGGGGTAATGGAAATGCGGAGGAAGCATATACACTGTGAGAAATGATAAACCGATAGGTAGCAGGTGCGTAAGTGTACCTCGGTGGCAGAGATGGCAGACAGCATCATAGACGACGACACGAGGCTGAAGGAGAGTGGGGAGTGTGGCCACTGGCTTCACGGTGGAAGCAACGGTTGGGTACAATAGCTCTTCTTCTGCGCTGACGTCCGTTGATGATTTTGATGAAAACCAGCCGCAGCCAGATTTTAATGGAGATGATGAGGAAGAAGAGAAAAACGGAGCCAGTTTTCTAATCCGTCTGACCACCATCGTCGTCGACATCATCAGAGACTGTTGTTAATCTTCAGTTCTAGAACGAATATACTAGTAATTAGCTGTAATTTGTGTTGGGTTTGTTTAATTAAGATGGAGACGCTGTCAAGGGTCGAGTACTCTCCAGAACCACGAGGGTTGAAACAAGGCCTATGATTTTGCGTTTCAACCGGGTGTCTAGACATCCGTTCGGATGTTTGTATTACTTTGTGCTTTTCTTTTTAGTTAAGTTATATGTAGGCAATGGTAGATCCCCGATAAATTACGAGAGGTGTTGATCCTTGAACCCTGTTTTTTGCTTTTTATTTAGTTTTAAAACAAAAATTTTATTATTTTATCGTTTTAAAAAATAAAAAATATTATTTAAATATATTTTAAATCTAAAAAATATTTTAAAAAATAATCTTTACAATGTATTCAAACTTATATATATTTAACAAATTTAAACTCTGATGATACCAAATGAAAAATATTTTAAAAAAATATAATAAGACAGTGCAACAAATTCTTGATATATAATATATTTTTAAAAAATCTTATTATATAATAAACATCTAAGGAAAAAATTGATAAAAATATAAAAAATTAATAAATACTCAATATTAAATAATAATTTTTTTTTAAAAAAAAACAAAGGGACATAAATATAAACCAAAATGCTAAGAAAAAGCCTAGACACGAGTGGCTCCGCATAGAGGCCCTTTTTAAAAAAACCATGGCTGGGGCATGGACTTGTGAAAACCCGCGCTCCTAAGCCATTTTTTTTGGTTGAAGGGTACACCCGTTATTATTTTGATTAACATCCTAGTTTTTGTCGTGGACACGAGTTTTCACCTGTGAAGGGCCATTTATCCTCTAATTTCGTCAAATTCATTTAATTGACTGGCAAACAAATTGAATGTCGACATGGAGAAATTAGAGAAGCATGTAGTTTTGTATCTGAAACTACTATCTTGTGTTTTCGGATTATCGAAGACGGAAATAATTTAAACGCAATTTCGTAGGAACAGTTCTATTTTATTTTCCGCAGGAAGTACAAACGTGGAAATGAAGGAGAAAATTGGAACGGGGAATGAAAAATGTTTTCTGTAACTAAACAGGGCTTAAATTCTCTAGGTTTTTTTTTTTTTCATATTATTCGATTAAATAGTTCTAATAGAAGTTTCTATTGCCTTTTAGACAATCTAGGGAAAACGACGGTGGAATGAACTGCTTCTCTCGCTTGTCTTCCTGTATACTTGGAAGGACAAGCCATTTCATAGCGAAGGGGACTCCTAAGGCGTCACATCAATCCCGTATTCCCTTTTGGAGAAGGAGCTTCGAACAGTCCGGCCTCCATCTAGAATTTCTCTCCACCAGATTTCGCATTCAGTGCTACTCGTCTCGAAAGCCGAGTTTAAAAGCTTCGATTAGGAAAAAGAAGGATTCTCAGCCAACGACAGTCATGGACCACGAGAAGGATGCTTTCTTCGTTGTGCGGAAAGGAGATGTTGTCGGTGTTTATAAGAATTTTGCTGACTGCGAGGCCCAACTTGGAACTTCGGTAATTATTCTCTTCAACTGTCACCCTATTATCTATGTTTTCATTTTAGATGCTTCTATATGTCAATTACTATTTTGAGATGTATCAGAAGGAGGAGTTGCCAGTGTTCTGTTTTTTTCGTTTCTTTTTTAATTGTGATGGAGGTTAAAACATCACTCCTTGTTAAATCTTGCAGCATCTGAAAGTTTATGGTAGGATATTGAATGATCTGGGCCAGCCAGTTTAACTATAGTTCTGCTGCTTTTTACATGATCTTTTTCAAATTTCCGCTTCACATCTGAGGCATTTCTGCCTTGCTCTTCATTCATTAATCTGTCAGAATATCTGTCCTATTGGATCTGCAACGCAGATCTCCGCACCAGAATATCTTTGTTATTTGCACCAGGAGTCCTTCAAGTTGTTTTTTATGGATATTCAAACTTGGTAATTATTGCGTGTTGAGTCCCTTCATCATGATACATCTTGAAAAGATGTAAAGTATCACCCACAATCCTTAACCCTTATTTTGAGCTGAAGAACGTTTTCCTTCTACTTTCTCTAGTTTCAAGGTGCCTCATACCGACATGCCTGAAAGGTTATGAGTTAGTACACCATTTTGTTGAGCGGTTGATTGGTAGGAGATGGTGATAATAATATGTTTTCTTTATTTCTTCCTTTCCTGGACTTATGTTTAATGATAACCTTAGAATTAGATTCCGATGCAGTTTATAAACTATACAGATGTTAGCTTGGATTAGCTTCTAAGATGTGTGGCCTTTTTCTGCTGTTAGATATTGGACCCTCCTGTGAGTGTCTACAAGGGTTACTCTTTATCCAAGGACTCTGAGGCATATCTTGTTTCCCATGGGCTTCAGAATGCTTTATACACTATCACAGCTGCAGATCTGAAAGAGGATCTTTTTGGCATGCTCATTCCTTGCCCTTTCCAGGTGTGTTGAATTCAATCATCACCTCATGAAATTGAAATAACTTTTCTATTTACTAGTTAGACTATATGTGATTTGTAGTCTTTATTTATTAATTACTTTGCAAGATTAAAGACAGACAAAAAATAACAACTTTAATTCTATCTGCTAAGGCAATAAAGTGAGGATATATGATGCTCCCTCTACCACGCTTTGATTATCCACTCTTGGATTTCCATCTATTTTTCAAAATATTATTTATTGCTTTTGTGGTGTGTATACTCTCAAATATATCCCTGTCTTAGAAAGTGTACAAGTCCATGTATTTTTTTAAATGGAGTTGTAATTAATCGAATAATCAAGGATAAGATAAGAAAATCCATAAACTTACCAAACATGGTTTTCAACACAACTGCAAGGTTATACAGTGTACTTTCAAGATTCTGCACTCTTTCTTCCAAGATTCTATCCTCTGCAACCCTTTTTTCACCTCCTTTTCTTGCTCTTTCGTTTTTTTACTCAATCCGCTGCTAAATTTTTTTTCACACTTTTGCTAGAAGCAAACTTTGAGAGGTGGATCCCCACTTGTATTTTGTTCTTATTCCTTCTTCCATCTCTTGCTTCAATTCCTACCCTTGTCCTGGATCAATCGGCTTATGAGCAATCTTGATAAGACAACTAAAATAAAATCTCATCTGTGATGCGATTGTTTCATGTTTGTTTTTAGAATCCTCCACCTCTTTTATTTAGAGTTCTATATTTTGTTTATAAATCACTAATCCCTTCTAGATAATTTTTTTTTTGGAATAATATAACATCATTTTTAAAGACAATGATGATTTCATATTATATAAGAAAAGCCCAATGTTGAGTACAGTCGTGCTTATGTGACTGGAGAACATGAACCAGAGTATGGTGTAATTGTTCACGAGTTAAGCTTAGGAGGCTAAGCTTGACTAGAGATTGACTGAACTTGGATGCTATGTTTTGAATCATACCTAACTCAAATTTCTTAGAGCTAGTTCTGGCTTCGCTTAGTTCAACTTGGCTCATTTATAGCCTCAGGTTGTGGTTTCTTTAAATTTAAAGAACAGACTAAGCATTCCTATTTCCAGGATGTGATTTAGTTCTGAAGGATGGATTGGATATGGAGAGTTCCAATAAGATTTCTTTCTTGAACAAAAATCCATTTATTTATTTATTTCATCTATTCCAGTCCTAAGATCTGGTTCTTATATGTTAGTGGTCATATATGTCTCATTCTACCTTAGTTTGACATTGAGAATTTTCCTTGGAGCAGATTGAGGGTTCATGGAAGGCCAAACATGAGAACATCACCAACTTGTACGAAGAAGCTAAGAAGCTGAAGAATAGTTTTCTTTCTTTCCACATCAGTCATGTTCCTCGGGTTAGTGCAGTTTTTTATGCCTGCGCTCCTGGGGCTGATATTAGTATTTTGTGGATCGTATAGAATGAGTATTAAATGCTGTCTTAGTCTATCATTATCTCTATCTAAAAGGACATATGCTATAAACGCAATTTGGAAGAGTGCCAAATGATCTCGAACTGCATTGAGAATTAGTGTGCTTGTTCATGCTACTTGTCTCGCAAACAATCTCGCACTGCATAGTGATGTGCTGTGTGTGTTGATTGTATAATGCTGAATCCAAACGAAGTTGACTTTTGTTTGTTGTATCTACATGTAAGGGTGGAATCTATTTTAAATTGGCTATAACCAATCCGTGTGTGCTGGGTAGGTTTGAGGTTTACAATTTGGCTGAATAGACCTGCCAAAAATCATTCTTTTCAGAGAAAAAAAAACCTGATCAAACATCTTAATCCAACCAAGGATTGAGGTTTTAAGATTTACGGTATTTACTTCTGCATAATGGGTTGATTTTAAAATACAAAATGAGCCACTACTGTGAATTTGAACTTGGAGCATTTTGTACTGGTAATGAGACTATGTTTAGCAGTAAGTCAGCATAGTACAATGTGTAAAATTTTGCTGCAGATGCTTCTTCAGTCTTGCTGGTTAATTTTCTGACCTTGTTATGTTCTACAGGAATATAATTCAGAGGCTGATTCTCAAGCGAACCTGGCCATCAGACTTGCCGGTAAGATTTCACGTTTCATTCCTTATAGCCCAAGCTAGCTATATATCACTTTAGTTTCGTAGTTTGTTAAAATTAGAAGGCTCTCTTTCTGTTGCAGATGGTGAAGTTCAAGAGGAGTTTGAGTAGTATTTGTCTAATGGAGGTACCTACTACATACATATCATTTGAATCAGAAATCAAGTACTGTATTTTCCTGTTTATCCATTGTTCTTCGGGCTAAAAGATTTTGTCAGAGGTCGTGGTGAGAGGATCAAACCACAACTCCTGGTTGCCGGTGCAGTTGCAATGATTGGAGCTCATTGCAAAACTTTTTCCTGCAAAATCAGCTCGTTCAGTTACAATGATTGGCATGGGCATAATTTTAGCGAAATGCCCTCATGTGTGCATTGTTAAAGATCCATAATTCCATATTTAGACATTGTTCTATACAGCTCCCGTTTGTTGTGGATGGTACAATACTCCATGGACCATGATCATATCACTTGTATGGATAGGGTAATAATAATTAGAGAAAATCTCAAGTGATGGACAAACCTCCTACATAGATGTATTTTCAGGCGCGTCTGCCTGTTTAAACGAAAACATATATCATATTGCTTTCTTTTTGGTTTTGACCTGTTTCAAGGTGCTTAAGGTGTCAAGGTAAATCCAGAATCTAGCAATTATGATTTAAATTAAATTTTATTTATAAATAACTTGTTTTGATTTCGTTTAAGGATTTTATTACAGTGATCCAATTTCCTTGGAGTAGAATTTTAGGATTTTTTTTAAAATATATATATATATATATATATTATCAGAATTGAACGAGATAATAGTATATATCAGGACAGAATTCCATTGACTGTATTCGAGTGAAAAATAGAAGCAAATTTCAAGTTGAGAGTCTCTCATCAAGGTATACTAACAGGTTCATTACCAAGTTATTGGTGAAAGGTGTAAAATAAATTCGGAGAACAAATTAGCCAAACAGAGCAAAGAAAATCTTCCAATATATTTGAAACGGTGAATGCCACAGAGCCACTAGGAACACTTCATATTACAGAGACAAGTTTTGAAAGTTAGACTAAAAACTCTTAATTCTTTCTAACCTAATTCTTTCCAACCCAAAAATCTAATGCGTGAAGTCGTGAAAAGGCTGGGATAATACGACCAGAAAAGTTGACTGATTTCGAAGATTTAGTGTTCCAGATGAACTAGAATGGGGTCGGAAGAACACAAATTAGAACAGACTGCTAGTGAAGCTACCGAACTCCGCATTGCGGTTTGAATAATGGAAATACCAGAGCTCAGCTCTCTTTTGCTGAAGCCACAGTAGTTTTCAATCCATATTTAGTGAACACATCTGTTAGCACTGCCTTCTCCTTTATCCTCAACCTGCATTTTGTTCAAGATTAACAAATACATTAAAAAAAGAAAGTAATGCCGCTGGTAGACCCCAAGATACAGGAAATCACCTCTTTGCAGACCCTGGGATGTCCAACTTCGGAACCTTCTTTGCCCCTCCTTTTGCTACTATCTTTTTCTTAGAAGAACGTTTTTTACGTTGTTTCCTTGGGGAAAGTGAATCAGTTGCTGCTTCCATACTTGGTTCTGAACTATCATAACTGTTCAAGTCTGATTTGCTTACAGATTCCACGTTCTCTGTTATATCTTCTAGCTCCTCACCCAGGTCATCAGATTCAAATATTTCAGAGACTGTTTCTTCAGGGAAAGAATCATCCATTTTGAAATCAGCATTTCTCTCTCCTTCTGTGACAGAATTCATCGATAGGGGATCATCAAAAGAATCATCCATGCCATCAGATTTAGACATGTCAGAGGCGAAGCTGCCAGCTGACTCATCATCAGAAGATGATAAAGAGCTTGAATTTTTCATCTCACATTTTATCTGCTTCTGAATCTTGCCAAATGCTATACTTTGCTTGGAAAATTGTTGCACAAACCTGTCATGATAGGAATACATTTCAGATAAAAAAATTCAGTTCTAATCAATCAGATGAGTTCACACAGGTTGATGAGATGAACTGTGCTCCACTGGATGTATATTGGAAGACTTCGGGATAATTTTCTTGATACAACAATGATCCAGAATGCAAAATATTGTGGGATTGTCTGTTAAAACTACACATGGTGGCTTATCCATACAGTTAGACCGTGAATTTTTCGCCATGTTTTGATTGACAACTTCTCAGACAACAAGACATGTTTAACGCTCTTTCTAGGAATTTCAATAGATGAAACAAAACATTCAATTTTAAAGGTCTGTACAAAGTGAAATTTTGGTTCTCCATCTTAAATTCCCCCCCCCCCCCAGCCCTTTCCAAGCGAAAGAGTGAAGAGAGTTTGTCTAAGATGTACAAACTTGCAACATGGCATCTACCTTGTGGGTTTACCATTCATCTACTATGATATTTTGATTATAAACAAAAAAAACATATATTTACCTAGCAGCATGCTCCTCTGACTTGAAATCAACAAAAGCAAAGCCCTTGCATATAGGATCTTTTGTCTTCTTGTTTCCAGAAACAGCTGGGATTATATTAATAATACCTTGAACATCTTTAAAAGCTGTTTTCAAATCTCTGTGGATGTTCTTCTTCTTCGGAAGGTTGATGACATGCACACGAATGCCAGTTGGAATAACATCGGGTGCTGCATTGATCCAGTATGGTTGTGCAAAATCAGACCCAAGTTAAATGGACTACACATTGTTTACCACTTTCATATTGTAAAAACAATTAATGATACTAAATGCATTTTGAAAACAAACTAGCAATTTACCACATCATGCTCCTCCAAACACTAATAAGAAGTACAATAAAATGAAATCTAGAAGAACAACATCAACATCTATTCATGGGAAATCTGGAAAGAGATGCAGGCACTTGGCAATTATGTGGTTGGCAAATATATGCAGCAAGCTAGAGTTACAGATTCCCACTTCCATTTAGCTTATTAATAGTACATCGTTTACTTTTTGTTTTTGCTAATTCCAGAGCTCTGTAAAAATAAAATAAAAATGATCATAGGTGGGATGACATCACAGCCCCGGTGTGGAGCTAGGCTGACTATTAGCCGAGCATCTTCCTTTAATTAAGTTTTGAAAACCCCCTTTTCTTTCTTTTCATTGACAACTTTGGCTGCAGATACTTCACTAAAAAGTTATTCAAAGCAGCCAAGGACTCATTGTCCTAAATCCCACATTACTTGTTCGAGATGGCATTCACATGAAAGTTCCACTAAAGCATAATCGAAGACATTTCCATTTCAAGTGGAGAGACCAAATACTTAAACAGTATGTGTACTTCAGGCAATGTCTATGAAAACTCTCCTATCAATGTATACTGTAAGCTAACTTTTAATTGCAATGCTGAAAGCATAAAGCTATTCTCTATGTGTACATTTCATAAAATTGTTGAAGTATCTAGAACTGGTATAAAAACTTTAATTCCTATTTCAGTGTTGCGTATTTCAATCACTGTATGTCCAAGTTTTGATAAAAAAAAAGAACAGAAACAGTAAAAAGACTCAGGTTTCTTTCTTTGTTTGCTTTTTTTAATAAACAAAAATGGGTAATGGGCATCAGAAGAACACAATACAAGGGAACATTTCCCTATTCTTTGAACCCGTATCCCCATTTTCATCTCAAAGGAAGCTCAAAATGAGAACCTGCAATTAAGAAGTCCATCCAAACTCAGACCTTTTCAGAAGTCCCACCGGGACATTATTTATTGAACTTCATTAGTAAATTGCCATCTCATAGTAAATCTCGAAAAAAGTATCTAGTAAGTGAATTTTGCACCGGCACATTGTTTTTTTCCTCGGCCGAGGGCATGAGCTTCTTTATCTTGTCTCGAATCAAGGTTCTAGAATTCATCAATTAGGAAATTCAGTTGCCAGAGTAGTGCTGGTGACATGTTTTCTTGGCACTATTTTTTTCTTCAGTACGAGGCCAGCTTTACTTGAGGACTTATATTATTAACCAGCATTTCCTTCTTTTTGCTGATATTACAGCACCGACCCAATATAGACAATTAGACGGACAACCCAATTTCCAACCTTAATAAATCTTACTTTTTACATAGGAGCTGGGAAAAATGCAAATATGGATGCAATTATTCATGGCTGCCATAACTGACGGTAGAACTCAAAGAAAAAATGGAAAAGAAGAAGAAGAGAGCAGCACTGACCCTTCCTTGGTTGATGGTGAGTCTTGTTGGGTGCGGGTGCAGCAGGATTAGGATATTTGAGGTTATTAATATTAGCAGCCTGAGCAAGTCTGCTCTGCTCAATTTCTTCAAGCAGCTTGTCTTCAAGACGAGTATCATAAACTTTGCTCCCACCAAACCCACGTGGTTTTGTCTCAAGCCACTTCTTCATCTTCCCAAATGGCATAAACTCTTCTTCATCTTCATCTTCATCTTCATCTACATAATCAAGCTCATCATCGTCAAAATCACCATATTCATCATCGAGGTCGCTCACGACAGCTGGAGGAGCAATGCTTTCCTTTCGTCGAGCATGTAGACGACAAGACGTCAAACTAGTAGCAGATGTTTTATAGTGGAAATGAGAATGATGGGCGTGATTGATTTTGAAGACTGAGTGTTGGGTGTGAAGAGTTTTGTTCGGATTTCCCGGGATTAAATCACAGTAAGAAGAATGGATGAAAGACACTGGGTTGCCCAAGCCCATCACCATCCTCAACATTTCCTTCTCCTCCCTCCTCCTATGCTGATAGTTCTGCCATCATATCTCACACATATCTCTTTCGTCGTCTGTCTTGTTAGATTTCTATCCATATCCGTTTGCGGCCTTGGTGTCGTGGTCTCGTCGGTTATCACGGCCCATTTAAACGGCCCAATTAAGAGGCCCAAGACCCAATCCAAAACCCAATAACTTCTTGATTTGTTTCCTGCGCGTCTTGTCACGTGCGCTGGAAGATCACAATCAACCGCATGTACTGAGTCCTTGTGGTGGCATCATCTTAAATGACAAATAATTGACAAGCACATAAAGAAAAATAGAAATTGACCGCTCGTGAGAAAATATTGATTAGAAATTTGACAACGCATTTAATAATCATCAGAGCGCCACGACAGCATGCATGCCTCACAATAGGGGTTTAGGTGGAATCTACAAATTCCAGCCTCCTCCAAGCATAAATTCACTGTTAGGCAACTTAATAATTATCACGGGTGATGCTAATTAAATTTAACCAAATATTAACAAGCCGCCCAGTTCCAACTAGCCGTTCGAGAAAGCGATAACTTTCGTTTTCGGTGCTGTTGTTTAAAAGCGTGTTTATTTTTAAGAAAAATACTAAAATAATATTTTTTTATTTTTTAAAATTATTTTTTAACATCAACACCAAGTTAAAATAATCTAAAAATAATTTTAAATAAAAATAAAAATAATTCAAAATATTTTAAACAAACAACTAGAATATATGGAAGCTAAAAGGGTTGATGATAGTTAAGAAATCATTGGAATTCAAACCTCGTCAGGAGGATCAAGGTTTTTTTTATTTTTATGAATTCTTAGTTTTGACGTGGTTAGTGATTGATATAAATAGGCATCTTAATTTTGACATGAAAACACTAACTTTAGAACATCTATGA